CAAAGGTTGCAGACCTGCCATAAACACAGAACTGCAGGAAACAAGGAGAAAGTACAGCTATCTTCACAGAAAAAATATTAATAAATAACTAACACAAGCTGTGTGCTTTAGAAAAGCCTGCAAATCAAATTATTTTCTTTACTTTTAAGGTCAGCACTGCAGGAAGGAATAATCCTGAAGATTAAAATTAAAAAAAAAATCAAACAAAGACTAGTCCTAAGGATAAAAGCAGAGATACAACTTCAATCACTTAAAACTACCTGAAATTGGGAGACCTGGCTCCAAAACAGTGGTGGGCAGGAGGGGCTGGATGGGAGAAACTGGATTGCAATCAGCAAATGAGGAGAAAGCCCAAGCTGTGTGCAGAGATGCTAATCTAGTGCTGACCTGAGCACTGCTGCCTTGTAGATCTTTTTTTCTCTACGCAGACAAATTCTAATTAGAGCATTTCACGTTCCCTGATTTCTAGGAAACCAGCGTACAAGACTTGATGATTTCGTATTTTTTTTTCTTTTCTCTGATTTTTATCGAGTTGTTTTTGCTTCCCTTCCCCTCTCTCCTTCCCCTTCTCGCTCTGAAGTCTTGGCGATGCACGAGAACGTGTTGAAATGCCCCACGCCAGGCTGCACAGGACAGGGTCACGTCAACAGCAACCGCAACACGCACAGGAGGTACCAGCTTTGACTTCTCCTCCGTAACAGCCAGGGCAAGGATGGCAGCAGGGGAACCATCCCCAAAAGCCTTGGCTTTACTCTTGTACTGAGTAATGGGCGAAGTAGGGATGACCCTAAAACAAAGAATAATATGAGAAAGCAAGACGGGGCGGTGATTTTTGGCTGGGCAATAGAGCAGAGCGATGCTTCCAGGCTCGCAGGTGGGACTGTGGAGGGGTAGATGCAGGTGGGGGTTCATGGCAGAGGTGTTTGGCACCAGGGAAGCAGAGGGTGCCCGGTGAGGCTGACTGGAGGGTGATGTTTGTGTTTGGTGGTGTGGCACTTAGCAGGATTTCTAGGAATTTCCACAATATTTAGGCTGAAATTATTGATGAGCTGGGAATTTTGCTGTAGGACCTCAGCCCAGATGTGGTCAGGAAGGGACAGGGTTGCACTTTGGGACCTGTAGTTATACCCCATGCTCTGGCTTCAGTTAAACTCGAGCACTTTTACAAACGGGAAGGCTGCAAGCGGAGGGGATGGTGTGCTTAAAAGCTAGAAACCTTCCAAAAAGCCAGACTAGCTTGTGCTACAGGGATGCGCTCATGAATTTATGATTTACCATTCGTTGCACTTGAGCTTAATTGGCGGAGGGTGACGGCTCTGCAAATGTCGATGCGTTTGCAGGTGCGAGGTGAGTTTGTGTCATTACTCGTTCAGCCGTGGAGGAAGCTGGCGGACGCTTCGTCGTAGCCGTAGCTGCTAAAGGAGAATTAGGGAAATCTGCTTGGTTAATTGAGAAGCTCGGTTTGCTGCAGGCAGCAAGCGATTGCAGTGAGATCGAGGTGATCCACTGGTGTTAGTGGGTTATGGAGCGAGCTTTGGGCACAGCGGTTTGGGCTGAGACCCGGCGGGGTTGGAGCCCTGAATTTCACGTGGGGCTGGGCTGGGGTTCCCTTGGTGCTGGCTGCTCCAGTGATGAAGGTGCCTGTGATGGCTTGGGGTCGGCTGGGAGCATGCGGGCTCTGCTTGTGAGGGGTTTTTACCTTCCCTGAGCAATCGCTGTAAGAGCCAAGCTGTCCCAAAGAGGCAGAGCCAGGCTTATGCGTAGGATGTGTGTGAGCAAAAGCCATTACAGCCCCCGATCTCCCCCAGGCACCGGCGTGCTGGCAGCCATGCACATCAGAAGTGCAAATGCTTCCCTGCAAGCGCCCCTCAGAAGGCTCCCTTCAAACGGCCCCTGCAAAAGATCCAAATAAACACAAATCAAAAATGCCATTTAACTGCTAAAACCACTCAAAGAAACCAGCCCATCCCCTTCTGCCCTGTTGTGCTCAGCCCGGGGGAGCTGCCTCCTTGATCCACCTCCGGGCCCTGGGGATGCTCCGGGGCTCATCCTGGAGAGATTTGGCACTTGATGTTTGGCTGCTTTGCTGCTTGCCAAGACTAAAAGTAAGCTAGGATAATGATAATAAAAAAACCCCTTTAAATGCAAACACTTTTCTCATGGGCTCAGTGCAGTTCTGGGTCCCTGAAATGAACATTTTCATGCTCATCCCTCATGCTTGGTTTCCTTCTCTCTTTTTCTCTCCTCCTTTTAAAAAAAACTCCTACAGTTTATCTGGGTGCCCCATTGCTGCTGCTGAAAAATTAGCCAAATCGCACGAAAAGCAACAAACCCAGTCTGGTGATCCTTCAAAGACCAGCTCCAATTCTGACCGGATACTCAGGTAAACGGGACCGCGAAGCCCAGCGCCGCGTAACCGCGCTGCCCCGGCCCTCCCCGCAATGCCACGCTCGCAAGAGCAGCCGTCACGGCTCCCTCCGGCTGTATCTTGATACTGCTGAGTCCTGTTATTATGATCATAGGTCTCGCCAAGGTGGGGAGATATTTAATTGATGATCCCAGGGAGGGCATTGAGGACAATGAATTGCTTCTGTAGCATCAATTAACGCTGAGGCTACAGGCCAAAGGGTTTTACCAGTGCAGCAGAAGGCATTTGTGCCGATTGCTCTGCAATGCAAACTGCCAGAGAATGATGGCTATTATATTAGCATTATAAGTAGGGTGGGCTCAGGGAGGGGGAGGAGGAGATTTAGGCTACATATAAATCACTCGATGGCAGTTTCACGTAAGTCCACCCGCTTTTCTTCCTTAGCCCACACGGTTCAGAGGAGAGAAACCTGCCAATCATTGCCAAACCAGTCACATTTATTTTGTTATTTCGCCCGTCTCTGTCTTCCTGGGAGAAAGGGCTGTCTCACATTAAGGATGTCCCTGATAGATGCGGGCTTCCGTAGCCGATGTGATTCATGAGGCTACAGATGGATTGTAATACAGTTAGTTATTTTGCAATGAGTGCAGGATAAAAACCGCAGTACGAGCCCTGAGTAGCACTCCCACAAAGGCATCGAGGGCTGATTAATTTATTTATTTGCTCCCCAGGACCGCTGAGCGCCCTGGTGCACCAGCGCTCGGTGCTTTGGAAAGGCCATTTAGGGCGATTACTTATTTATTTCCAGCGGAGCCCACGCCGGGCGCAGAGCACTCTGAGTGCATCATGAGGACAGTCCATGCTCCAAGGAGCTTCCACTCTGAGGACTCGCGGGTGGGAAGAGGTCACGGGAAGGAGAATAACAATAGGCCATTTATATACAATTTATATGCAAGACAAATTGATTCATGATAGGCAGCCCAGCAGAAGCAGGTCTTTAAGAGGGACTCTGCAGGCAGGGGAGAGGCCCTGGTGCTTTTGCAGTGGGGAGTGGAGCTAAACTGGGGTCCTCAGGCCTTCGTGTGCCATCCTGTGTCATGGGTCCCATAAATGAGTGATGCCCAAGTTTCTACTGCTGTTGGAAAGTGCTGCCACACCACGGCAGCCTGCAAGAATATTGTTTTGCATGAGATGGACGCCTCGGTGTTTTGCCTAAAAAGAGAAAAAGAAAAAAAGGAAAGGAAGGGGAAAAAATAAAAAAGGAATCTAAGAGACCCAAACCAGATGCAGACTTGCTGAGGGAGAGCAAAAGGGCTGTCGCTGCCTCTTCTTCCCCAGTAACCCACTGGGGACAAGGTGCAGCTACGCGTCCCCATCGCGTCCGGTCCCCTCCCAACAACTGTTTCATTGACGAAAAGAGAAATCACTGCTGCTCGTTGTTTCATCCTCAGGCCTATGTGCTTTGTGAAGCAACTGGAGATCCCTCAGTACGGAAGCTACCGGCCCAACATGGTCCCAGCAACCCCCCGGGCCAACCTGGCCAAGGAGCTGGAGAAGTACTCCAAGGTCACCTTCGATTATGCAAGTTTTGATGCTCAGGTTTTTGGCAAACGCATGCTTGCCCCAAAGATTCAGACTAGCGAAACCTCACCTAAAGCCTTTAAATGTAAGTTGGGAGCAGGGATGGGCTGGGTTTTGCATTTTCTGCCTTTCTCAACGTGTCGCGAGGCTCTTGGGATCATGGCTTGGGGTGATGGGAGGCTCGGGGCTGAGTCGCTTGATCCCTCCTGCTGCTGCGAAGCAAGGGGAGAAATGGGGATGGGGGAGGCTGAGATGCATCCTGTGGCATGTACATGGTGGAGAGAGGAGCCCATAGCTGTCGGTAAAGCTTTGCCTGGGGGAGAGGCGCTCTGGCTTCGGCTTTGGGAAGAATTGCATCGAGTGGTGGGAACATTAATCTAAGCGATGTCTCTAGGTGGGATAAGTTACACAGTTGTCCTCAGTCGGTCCTCGCTGCTTTGCAGTTCATATCTATTGATCTGTCTTTCCTCATCTAGCTAAATGGATTATAGTTTTCTTCTCTTCCATCTTATATATGACCCACTCCACCCATTTGTCTTCTCTGCTGTGCTCTGCTCTCCAGCTCTGCTACCTATCGATCACCCACCTCCTATCTCCCCGCTTTTTCCTACCGTTGCCACCCACCTCTGCTCTTTACCGAGGACCTTGCACTGGTTACAACACCGTGCAACGAAAGTGTGGGTGAAAATGAAATGGCTAAATAAACGTTCAGGGGCCGGGCTGTCAGGAGCAGGAGGGAAGCTGCATGGGGAGCCAGCCTGCCGCAGACTGATGTTAAACCTCCTCCTTCCCTTTGACACCAAACGTGCACCTGAAGACATCTTTCTGAGGGGAAAAAAAAAAAGATTTAGGAGCCCGGTTTGCAGAAGTCAGCAGCCTTAAGAGGGCTTTCTGTCTGGCTAATCCCACTTCCACAATCCTGTTTAATCCTGATGCAGCTGCTCTCTAAAAAGTGCTCGTACTTGAAAGCATCCTGGTTGTTGCACTACAATGGAAGCGCCCTTTATTACAGTACTAAATCTGTAAAGGATCAGACAATGAAATTGGATGGAGGCCAGAGAGCACAACTGCCACTGTCATCCTGGGTTAGGGCTGATGGAAAAGTAATTTGTTTCCCAGCACAAGTGATTCTCTTGCTGAATAGATTGTGTTATTTGCAATATTAGCAAAGAATTTTCAGGGTAATTGTACTGACAAAAATAATTCCAGCAGACCCACTAGGATAATCCTTTCTATTTTTTCTCATCACTTATTTTACTAATTTGCTGATTGCGAGTCTATTAGTGGTAGAAATACTTATGAAATGGCAAAGCATTGCTGAGCCTACGGTGTGAAATTGAAATTGGCATCTCGCGATCCTGGATATTGTCAGGTTGGGCTGGCAAATACCCGCACCCCGCCGCAAAGACATGGATTAAACTGGACTCGAAAACAAGCAGCCATACACAAGAATAACCATTTGGGCAAACCTCCAATGAGTTAATCAAAGCGACAAGATGAATATGATTGCCAATCATAGCAGGGAAATCTGTTCCTTTCACTGAGAACTTATTTTAAAGAGATCTTCATCCAGAGGGATTTATATTTCCCTGCATGTGTGTGCATAGCTCCCATTAATGTCAATATGCATTATATACACGCACAACGAGGAAGAAAGCAGTCCTGGGGAAGATTAGCATTTTATAGTGTCTTATATTACGAGTTTGTAAGGGGAATAATGAAATCGCTTTGCTCTGCAGCCGCATCAACCAAGGTTGTCTTGCTGCTTCACCATCGTTGGGCCAAAGCTTATGAGTCTTCCCTGGGTGAGACTCCCACTGAAGGGGGGGATGTTTTCCCCCAAAAAGGGCATAGTGAAATGAATTAAGAACTTGAAGATTTTGCTAATTGATTCAGAATACAATCCTGTGACTGTTGAAAATCAGATGATCCCCTGTTTGCACCCACTGAAACAACTGACTTCAGAGGGACTCTGTGTGGGTCAGGGCCCTCCTAAACAGGTCCAGGTTCAAGATTAGGGCGAGTTTTATTGTGGGTTAACCCTGGGAAACACTCACTTTCATTTCATAGGGTGTAAAGAGAAATTGCCTCTCCAGGATTGCACTGCTGCGTGCTGTGACATAGAGTAACAGTGCGGTGTCGTGGCCGCGTGCGGCTGTGTAGTAAATCCTGTTATTCAGGCATATTTAAATGATATCTCATCTGTCAGAAAATCCATATTTCACTGGTGTGATCATCGGAAGCTCGTATTTCATAGCCATGGTTTTGCTATTAATGTAATTTTTTAAATTGTAAGTTTTCAAACATGCTACAAGAAATCTCCCCGTAAGTCAGCTCTGCAGATAAGTTATGAACAACAAAAAAAGAGCCAGGAAGCTTCTCTAAACTTTCTCTTTAGCTGCTTCCACCGAGGAGTAGCTTTAATGAAGAAAAGCACTCATGTTCTGGGGACTTGATGGCAGAGTCAGTTAATGAATTAAGTTTTCACACCGAGAGACCATTGCGCAAGCCGCAGCCAGCACTGCTCCTATTGCACATCCCAGGCAACAAAATAGCCTGTGGATTGGTAATAACGACAGGTTGCCACTGGAAGTGCTAATACGTTAGCTGTGTCAGACTGACTTAACCTCTCACCGCTGCCCGTGCTGGTTATACATCAGCCTTGTGTTGTTCCTTCTCTTTTTATTCCAGCCAAACCTTTTCCAAAGGCCTCTTCCCCCAGCCACAGCCCCTCCAGCAGTTACGTGAAGAGCACTTCATCTTCCTCCACAGGCTTCGACTACTCCCACGATGCCGAGGCTGCACACATGGCTGCCACTGCCATCCTCAACCTCTCCACCCGCTGCTGGGAAATGCCGGAGAATCTCAGCACGAAGCAACAAGAGGCCCCCGGCAAGGTGAGCCGAGCGTGCCCGGGGACCACCGCGCCACCACGCAGCAGAACGGGTTAAAACTGGAAGTTTGGGATGGGAGAAATACCTTTTTTTACTCTTCCTTTCATTTTAATCTTTAAATATAGAGGGAATGCAGAGACTCATCACATATCATCCTTTCACTCCCTGCTTTGGGTGATGCAGTTTGGAGGAGGTAATCTTGGCTTTTAGTGTGTTATGGAGATGCATCATGGTTCAGATTACCCATCTGAGACGAGCATCGTTCCCAAGCAGAGTCTCAGGGCTGATTTCAGTTGCTCACTGGTCTGTATCTGATGCCATTTGAGATTCCCCGGTTGCGTCCAGGCTGACCTCCAGCTATTTTTCAGAGGAACACAGGTTTTCCAGGAGTCCCATGTTGCACCCCCAGCCTTGGGCAGACGTCTTGGATGCCATGGGGCATCTTAAATGGCACTAGATGCCTGTGTTCGAGCAACTGAGTCAAAATGCCACGTTGCTGGTAGTAGAGGAGTGCATTTGCACGGCATGTTTCTGAAAATATTTATGAAAGAGCATCCCTTCCATTCAGTTCCTTCTAACTGACTGTGGAGAGGATGGGACATGAATAATCTGCCCCCTGCACTGCAGAAGACAAAGGGGGGCAAGATCCCCGTAGGGAATTGCTGGCAGCTGCTAACGTTGGCCATGCTTCCGACCTTTCAGTCCATGGACATTGAGGTGGATGAAAATGGGACTCTGGACTTGAGTATGAACAAGCACCGCAAACGGGAGAGCACCTTTCCCAGCAGCAGCAGCTGCAGCAGTAGTCCCAGCATGAAGTCCCCAGATGTGTCCCAGCGCCAAAACAGCACCAGTGCCACGAGCAGCACCATGACCTCCCCCCAGTCCAGCCAGACCTCCCGCCAGGATGAATGGGATGGGCCCATTGACTACACTAAACCAAACCGTCAGCGGGAAGAGGAGCCAGAAGAGGTGAGCGGTGACTCTTGATGCTTAAATAACATCTCATGGGGGATTGAATGCCATGTTTGCTTGCACAGTTGTCCTATTTTCCTCCAGAACCCCCAGTTTGCCCTTTCAACATAGCAGAGGAGTATTATTAGCTTTGTCAGTGCTACCAGACATCAGCTGTGGACAATCAGGCAGGAGCAGATGCTCTTGGATCTGCTGGGTTGCTTTTGCCAAGGAAGAACCCACCACTTGCGTTGTCCTGGGTCTGCAGTGCTTTCTTCATTGTAAATCCTTTCGGCTCATTTGCACCAGTGGTGCTCCTGGTGACATTCCCCGGGATGATTTGTATCTGCCATTAGCAGATATGGCCCTGCGCGCCACTTAACATTAATCCTTGCCCGTGGGGGAGCCCAGCCATTACCTCCTGGCTGGGGTGAGCGTCCTGGCCCTGGAAGCAGCACGCTGCTTCTCTGCCCATGGGGAGGCAGGTGCTGCTGAGGATGAGTATGGGGGGATTGCACTGATCTTCATCCCTTCAAGACCTTGGGAGAGCCAGGTGTAAATCCCTGTACAGATGTGTTTTACCCGTTTCTCCTATAAAAAGGGGAAATTGCAGGCTATTTGATCTCTGGTTTGGGTACTTCAAGGCGCTTGCAAAGGGCTCAGGAGCGTTGGCAATGCTGCACTAACTGGGATGAACCTGGGATCCTTTCCCGCCATGGCTCAGCATCAATGACCACCACTACAACCACTTTTCCTGGCTGTTTTCTTGCAGTCAGAGCCTGCCGCCCACTCTTTTGCCTCCTCGGAAGCTGATGAGCAAGAAGTGTCGGAGGAAAACTTTGAAGAACGAAAATACCCAGGGGAAGTTACTTTAACCAACTTCAAGCTTAAATTCCTCTCCAAGGACATCAAGAAAGAGCTGCTCACGTAAGTCCTGCCTTCTTGTATCTTCCTCCAAAATGTATAAAATATGTATGCAGGACAGCCAGGCTGGTAGGAGACAAAATTTGTTAGCAAATACATTTTAAAAATTAGAAGTGTAGTTCCCTTTCTTACTGTGATTGGTCTTATCTCATCTAAGCGGTTCAAATGAAAGCTCAAAGAGAGACCCTATCCTCATACAACTGCTGATCAATGAGGCATATGGCCTTGAAACTCTGCAGTGATGAAGGGATCTTTCTGGGGAGCTCGGTGCTCTCAGGATTCACGGACGTGAACTTAGAAACCTCCTTGCAGGGCCCGTTTTCCCTGGTGTTTTCCTGCACGTGTGTTTCTGGCACAGTGATGGAGCCTGTCCAACCTCCTGCCCTGAATTATTTTGGGACGCTGGGTGATGCTGTGGAGCCAAGAGCACCCGAGGGATCTCAGTACCTTCTTCATGGGGGCGTTGAACCGCAAGGTGCCTCGTTGGGAAGGCAGGACTTGTGGGCTGTTTAACATAGAGCAATGAGTCCCATCACCGTGATACTGCAGGGCCACAAAATGTGAACTAGGGCTACAGCAAGATTGCATCTTACATTGGAGAGAGATCTTAACTGAACTCACATCTGCGTATTCATGGCATTGGGTGGGTGGAAATATAGACCCAGGTCTATTCTATTAGGTGGAGTATTGCTCTGCATCCACACTGATCCTCCAAACTAATGGTCAATGTTTAGAGCCTGACCTAAATGCTGCAGCTTGGACCTGGCTCTGATCTAATGGCAGGTCGGGATCAGACTGGAGGTTGAGATGGGGAGGTCTCACCTCCCAGGCATCCCAGCAGATCTGCTGTGCTTGGGCCTCTTTCCTGTGCATCTGACCTTCCCATATGTTAAACAGGGAAGAGTCAGCGGGCATCGTTTTGCTGACTTTATACAACGTAGCTCGTTATTTGGCTACGCAAGCAGGAAGCTGAGGGAGCAGACAGGCAAGGAGGAGATCTGTAGGGGCAGAGCAGCAGCAGCATCTTCCCTAAATGAGCAAAGCACAGGCCAGCTGCCCTATGCAAGCTCTAAAGGCTTTGTTAAAATCCAGCAGCGATGTGAATAGCAGTTTCTGAGGTAGAGCCCTGAAGTCCTCCTGTGCTATAATTGTATTACGAGGGTAGAGAAATTTCCTAAACGGAAACAGCCCTGGAATAAATACATGGTGTCGTGGGCAGCCCTGAGCCTTCTCTCCCCCTTTAGCATCCTTGTTCCTTTCTGGCCCAAAGGCCGTGATGAATTAGCTGTAGTTAACTCGGGAGCAGACTTGCCCTCTGTGTCTGTTTGATGCTCTGTGTCTGGGTGCGGTTCTTGGGCCATCTCCAGGCACTGATGGCAGTCGCTGTGAAGGTGCTCCTCACCTCTATCTTCTCACTGCCCTGCTGTTGGCAGACGAGTGCGTACCACGTAGCAATACGTCACTGCTGCTTGAACATCTTCATATCAGCGCTGGCTCTAAGGCTCACTGTGTTTGTGTGGGTGTTGTGGTTGTGAAAAGGACTCAAGGGTGAGCAGGGAATAGCTGCATTCCCAAGACTCAGCCTGCCAGGCCAAACTGTCCCAGGACATCCCTGCGGTGTCCCAGGACATCCCTGCTCTCTCGCATACCCCCTGGCCTTGGGCAGGCAGGGCACGACCGTGCCAGAGCCTCACTGCTCATGCACAAACTGGATTTTATTCCCTGGAGACCGAGAAGGGATGACACCTTTTCCCATCGCCCACGCAAGTGCAGTTCTCTGGGGAGGCAGCGGAGAGGGACGGGTGGGAAACGCAGCCCGGCGAAGGCAGCAGGTGGGATGCGGCAGCTTCTGCCTGTCCTCAATTTAGGAGCCCCCAGGCACAAGAGTCAGAGGGTAATTTTATTCCCCTTCCGGAGTGAAGAGTGTTTTCAAGCTTTTCTTTGCAGCTATAAGGGCTGGGAAAAAAACCATCATTTCAGAAAGCTGAAATCTGACGCTTTCAGGGAATAAGCTGATTCCTGCAGCCAGAGCTTCAGTATTGCAAAAATCATTCAAATTGGCAGCAGCAAGGCAGTGGTGTTCATGCCTGTTCATTCATGCCACCCAGCAGGCTGCTTGAAGTCTTCCACCGCCACCGAGCAAACCAAGCAACTGAGTATTTTGAACACTTCCTTCATATTTGCCACAAATTTTTTCGATTTTTTCAGATTTTTTTCAGGATCCTTGTGATCTTTTGGGAACAAAAAAGGGAGGAAGGGGAGCTGAAAGGGAAACAGCTGGTTTATTTGCATGCAAACATATAAACACATGGCGAGGTCCGATGGAAGGAGCCGGTGTAAGCGGTCTGGCACCGGGGCCGGGCTGAGCCCCCCCGCAGACAGACCCCGAGGAGGGCTCAGCTGGTTTTGCAGATCCGTGGCTCTCGGGTGAATTCCTGCCTTTCCAGCACTTACACTCGTTGTTGTTGTTGCCCAGTTGCCCAACCCCAGGCTGTGACGGCAGTGGACACATAACGGGAAACTATGCCTCTCACCGCAGGTGGGTTGACCTTTTTTCTCATGGTTCGGACTCTAAAGACAAATTTTTTTTTCTTTTAGTATATTTTTTGACCATGTGGATAGTTTGGTTCTGTTTCCTCCCTACCTTCTGTTGCCCCTTTCCCTCCCCCCACCCTGGCCCTTTTTCTTTTTTTCC